TAAAAATCTCATCATATGGATTTGTGAATGAATATTGACATGACCACAGCACTTATTTTAGGACACTAGAACAGAGAGATGATGGCATGTTTACCTCAGAAACAGATCTTACTGTAACAAAAAGAATTTGTACAATCAGTGATATTTCAGGTGTTATTTCTTTTGTTGGTTAAACAGTTTCATGAATAAAGACATCCAGAAACACAGTAAGATGTGGGAGCTATGGATTGTATACTATCTAGTACATGAACTCTAAACACACTGGAATGGGTTTATAAAAATATGAACCTAATTTTATAACAAACATTTATCAGAAAATACAGTGAAATTTCAAGTATTAGAAATGAAACAGCAGCTAAATCTGGGATGTATTCAGATAAGACAAGATATTAAGATAAATAAGATATTATTAAGATAAGATGTATAAGATAAGATGTATTAAGGTAACACACTTTTGTATTTTAATAGAGGAACTTTTGAAGTCGTGTAAGGTTTAGCCATTGTCTCTTATGCAAGAGAAACTTTCTCTAATCCCTTCATCAACATACACTTGATTCGAATCCCTTTGCCAAAGGCTTTTCTCCACTGACCCAGAAATTTTGCTTATTATGCACATGACTTTATACTACTTGCTTTGATGTGTAACTACAGTCAATCAAACAGTATTTCTATTTCATGGGACATTTTACACAACTGTGAGAAAAGATCATGGCTCTCACAGCTACTTTTGAGCTGAGCTAATATGGAAATGGATATGACTTATCTTTACAGCAATATAAAGATATATGTGTTTGTATATATAAACAAGAGCATCATAGCTGTCAGCAGAGCTGACACATAAAGCTTGCAGTGTCTTTGACCAAGGCACTTAGCTCCCCATGACCCACTTTCCTTATCTGAGAATGAAAGACAATGCCACCTAAATCTCTACCTTCCTTTAATAGTGTTTTTCAGTTGAAAAAAAGGTAGTGTTGCTAGAATAATTACTTTGGTTTGCTTTCTCCAAAATACCTTCACATTTAAGAACAAATATAAATGCTCCTTATTAGTGGTCTGGTAGTAGGGAAAGAATACGAAATACCCTTACCTCTCATAATTTCCTACTGCACACTGCCACAGGGAGGAAGTGCTTTATGGAATATTTTCAGTAATCACTACAGTGCTCAACTACTTGAAGATAGTTAGTTTGGGCTCAGAGGCAGGGACAGCTAAAATCTTTAAACTTGGGGATGGTTTTAAATGCAGAGTAGGTATTTAAGTGTATCTTTAAACTCTTGGGACCTAGCAAGATTTTGAAATCCTGATGACGAGTTTGTGAAAAGTGATTATTGTCCCCAAATCATTTATGACAGTCATATTTGCTTTTACGGGAGACAGAAATAACAAAAGCACAGTATTTCTCAAGGAATTTCAATGCCTTTGGTTTTGATGCTTGTCAGAATTCCTAAGTCTCTGGTTTAGGCTGTTAAATCATTTTTGTAACATATGCAAATATGGTATAAGATAGTAAAACATGATACTAATATGAATTAGTTTTGCACAGTCACGGCCTCCTAAAATTGAGATTGCAGTATTTCAAGTACTCTTTCCCAAGCTACTAAATTTTTTAACAATGTGGTTTAGTAATGACGGCATAAAATATGTGTCTGTTTGCCTGATGATGCAAACCATAAAGAATGCATGGCATTTATTCTCTTTGTTCATTTCTGAGCATTATTTCAGGTAGTGCTTGAGACTATCTACATGCTAGACATTCTGGAGCCTGACTTACAGGACTTCTGTCTTTATGCAGTATTGTGATAACCGGAATCATCCAGCACATTTTTGCCAATGAAAATGTCATAGATACAAAGAACTCTCAGCCTGGAGATTTGTTTTGAGAAGATCTTGTTGACTTTGAAGGCATTAATCTGTTTTTGTGGGCTTTTTGCACAGGGTTTGTTGGTGGGAATTATGTTGACTTCTCCTAAAGTGGCATCTCTTAGGTATAAACAGTTATCCACATATTCAGACTACACTTTGACAGCTTTGCTGATTTAGTGGTTTAAACATGAGCGTGTCTTTATAATTAAACTCTGTATCCAGACTCCCTGAACACAAGCACAGCTATGCCTGCTCAGCCCATGTTTCCCACTGCCCATCCCTCACACCTTGCAGCAGTGTCAGCTGCCAGCCAGGGTGCCATGCAGTTCCACGATTTAATTTTTCACACACAAGTTCCTTACCAGAAGGAAATGTTATCAAACCTGTCTTAAGCAAAGCGAGTACCTAGAGCACATCAGTCTCCCAGCCCATCTGGACTTGGGGCTTGTATTTGCTCTGGCAGAATAAAGGTAGGCTATATACCAAAACAGGGTTAGAGAGTTGTTTCATACATGTTCTCACATAAATAGAGATCTTTCTGTATAAATACTTCCCAACTTTTCCAATAGATTTTGTTTTGAAATCTCTTATTTCCAAATACTCTGGAAGAATCAGAAATTCAGTATTTAATGTCTTCCTGTAGGGTCTTGGAGCAGACTGTTGGAGTGGGAGGCCTCTGGCAAAGTTCTGAGTACACAGGAATCACACATTAAGAGCAAAGTTCCTATGAATTTGGAAAGGTTTTCAGCCATATATTTGACTTTTTTCATTTCCAGCATGTTTATTTAATTTGAGACAGATGTCTGTCATTAGCCTGTTGGTGAGGCTTGGCCCCCTGAGGCAGTGTCATGCTCTCCACTGCTCGCTGTTGCTTTTTGAGTTTCTGAAGAAAGAGCTTTCAGAGTTCCTCATTAGAACTGACACAGGCATAATGGGTCAGAAGCCAGACTATTCTCTTCTGCAATAGAGTTTACCAGTCCACTTACCTACTTCCAAGTCTCTATTTGGATGGCATATTTTAAGAAATTGAAAAAAATGTTGCTGGATGCCAAACCCCTCCTTTTTCAAAAGTTTCTGCTAGTGCACTTTCTCCTCGTTACTTATCTGGCTTCTTTTTGCAATGAAGCTGTAATAAATTTTGTAATAAATCAGTACATTCCTGGAATTGATTGGGTCTACCTAATTGTTGTCAGACTAGCTGGGTTTCTAAGAAACTAACAAGCTGAAGTTCTGGCCCTGTAGCCATCAGAAGAAGGGATCAAATTGCTTTGTTCAGCTTTCTTTTATCCAAACACTTACTACATTAAGGGAATATTAGGGGAAATACATTCTGCCATAATAATTCGCCTGCAATTAGGTTTTGCTTTCACCAGTGTGGGAAAAGAAACTTCCATCTGGCTTCAGGGCTGGCCCCTCAAGTCTGACTATTCGATGCAAGGGAGTCATTAGAGTTACTTTTTTTTTAAACTGGAATTCTGTGTGCTAGGGAATAGAAGAAAATTAATTAAATGTCTCATCTGTGGCTTAAAATCTATGCCAAGAAAATGACTGGAAAGTTATTAAATTAAAATTCATACTTACAGAAAGAAAATCTCTTTGTATCAAAAAATATCTGTTGCTTGCTTTTTGGTAATTGTACACTTTCAATTCACAAACTAGCCAGTTTATTTTCATAGATTAAAAAACGACTATTTTTTAAAATTCAGAATCTTTCATTACATCACTCAGTTCTAAAATGCTTTTTATTTCTCTGCTCCATGAATCTGGAAAAGATTGATACAAAAGTGGGAGGCTATGGAAAAGGAAGAACATCTGACTCACACAATTAGAATTCGTGGCCAAACCATTCTGCAAGGAGGAGATAGAATGTCTTGGGAAAATTGAAAATTATCTGGAAACAAGAAATGCCAGCTGTGTTCAATGGGTCTGTGTGAATCTCTGTATCTGGTGTAATGCTCTAAACATCTACTCACCTACACACACTTAAAATTAATGTGAGAGAAACCAACACAAGTAACAATTTAATTAATAAAACCTAATAAAATAAATGCACACTTACTTATGCCTTTTTTTGAAAGAACAGTTTGGATATTTATATATTAAGTTATGTGTATGTATATAAATATTAATAAGGCTGATAATTACATCAGTAAAATAGAAATTTTCTTTTGGCTAAAAATCCATTTTTATGCAATCAGTTGTTTAATTTAATGTTTGTACTCAAATACAACTCTATTTTGGAAAAAAAGGAACCCCTTTTTGATATTTGGAACTGTTACAGTACACTGCAGTAATGCATGTGACTTGAGCTGTCATCATTTTTTTCATTACTAGATAGTTTTAATTGCTTATTTGCCTTTATTGTATATATAGGAGACCTGTCTTTACCAAACAAAAGTTTATACGGTGATGCCCACTATTAAATGTTTTAATACCTGAGATTTCAAAATATTTCCTTTGCACATGAAAAGTTAAGTAACCAGGGCACTGTAGCTGGGAGAATTTCAGCAGGGCACATGGGAGCTCTCCTAGAGTGATAGAGTGGAGAGGCTGATGGGACAGGAACTGCACAGAGACACTGCCAAGGGCCGGCTAAGGTCCCAGTCCCCAGGGATGGCCACTGTCACTTATAGCAGTAGCAGTGCAAGGGGGGGCTGGATATAGGGGTAGGCACTGAGGCTTATTCCCTCCTTTTCAAATCCCTGAGTGGCCTAAGAAGATTATTTACATTTTTCATGCAGTCAGCTGAATCACTTCGTTCTTTCTGATCTGACTAGCAATAAGGGCAGAAAGGTTTTCTGTTGGAGCTGTGACAAACATTGCTTGGGCTGGGTTACCTGACTGCAGTGGAAAACATGAACAACACAGCTGTGGGAACACAATGATCCTGAAATGCTGGTAAAGGGGCAGGAGCAACAATGTATCTTTGAGACAGAACTTGGACGCACTAGAGGTTTGTATTTCAGCTACAAAAGGCAAAAATATCTGATGAAAAATTACTTGAAAATCGTACTGGGCTACCAACGGAGAGTTGGGAGAGCAAAGCATCTTGCAGGGTGCAAATCCAAATGTTAACAGTTTTTGGCACAGATTGGCTTAAGATATTTTAAGTGTTGTCAGACAACATGAAGACTTACCAGTTTGAAGAGGAACATGGATGAAAATAGAAGTCTTTTCTTGTCTTGTTATCAAGAGATGAAAAAATCAGAGGCTGCCTCATCTAATTCTGTATTTCAGAGCCTAGGGAAGATCCACCAGATAATGCTGTTTGTCACGTCTTTCTTTGTATGTTGACAGCCTTTGTGATGATGTACCTTTCTAGCCTATGCATAGGAAGACAAGTAAGGTATTAGCTGTGGCTAAGCAATGTAATATAGACCCAGTAATATAGACCTAAGTTTGGGCTGCATGGGCCTGGCTCCTGAAAAGAGTCTTGGAACATCCAGTGGAAAAATACTGTCCTGAACCTCCCTGAACCTCACTTGATCATCAGCCAGCATCCTGCTGAAAACAGTCCTGAGACAGCAGGGACATGTCTATATCCCAAAGCAACCTGAGGGGGGGAAATAAAAAGCCTTGGAGTGCTGTGTAGTACCAAAGCCCCGGGGAAATATCTTGGGAGAGAGACCACTCCTGCAAACCCTCTGTGAATGTGTGACTCTCTGGAATCAAGACAGATTTTGTCCAAGGTCAGAAAACCTAGTGTTTTGCACATGCTGTTCAGCAGATGGTTGACTGGCTTCCTTTATACTGAGGTTTCCTGGGGATGAAAATCCCTGACACAGTGGACAGGGAATTGAAAGCACCTAAAAAGAAACAAGATGTTCTTTGTGCTTTTCACCATTTGAATGACTGTGTGGAAGGCAGCCCAGAAAAATACTGGAGTCCTTCTGGGAATATGGTCAGAGGGTCTGTTTGTTCTTTTGTCTTTGTTAGTAAATGCAGCATCCAGATCTGATGTTTACTCAACATCCTGGATAGATGAAACACTAGAAGGGTCCAGGAAGGCATGATATTATATAACCACAATGACACTGGCAAACAGAATGGATGCCAGAATTTAGAGCTACTCAGTGCACATTCTAGGCCCAGACAAGTTCATTCTCCTGTTTAGAGAGAATTCCAGTAATATTTTAGAAACTGATTTCCAGGCAGGTGATACACCTTGACAGTCTCTAACAATTTTATGGTCAGAGCAGTGCTTTTGCACTATGTGCAAACTGCTCAAGAGTCTCCACGTCAACTTGGTTAAACGTCAAATCGGGCATGAAGAGACAAAACACATGAGGTAAAGCCTGAAGAATTAAACTGCATTTCATTAAGAATTAAGATAAGCCCTCTTTAGGTAAGATTTTCACTGGAATCTCCTGCTCTATTAAACAACAAAGGAAATTTTTTGGGATGGTTTCAATAAACATGAAACCATTATGTGATTTGCCCACAATGCGAAAGCAGGGTAACATTGCAGTGTAAAGACCTGCATAGATGCACTTGCAGTATACAAAGGCAATTATAGAGCGTTCTAGAGTTTTCTCTGGAGGTGGGTGCTTCTAAATGGTGTTCTTGCTCCTGTGAGATTTTGGTTGCTACTTGGTGGCTGATATAATTAATTTCTCCTTTACTATAGGTGTGTAATGCAGTCAGTATGAACTCACAGAGAAAAACTTGCTCATAATGCTTTCAGGAGATGCTTGTACTTTCTTTGCCACAAGTAAAATGTACTTAATTTTTGGTATTTCTTAGCATTCCACTGCTTTTTCATTTCTCACTAAACAGTTTTGAATATACGATGGAGTTCAGTGGCACAATGTGAACTTAGTCCTTATTCCAATGAATATATACATAATAGAACTGAGTTCTCTGATAGTATTTTGGTTGGAACAGTGCTCACAGGCCAGAAACAGCAATGGAATGCAACCCTGGCATCCTTTTCCTTCAGCATATTGCTTGCAGATGATGATGATGATTAGAGTCATAAAATCTTCACCATTTCATGTGATAAGAAGGAATAAAATACAGGTTTGTATAAAATACCCGTGCACTAGAAATGCACATACAGGAGATGTTAACTTCATCTAAGACTATCTAATAGAGCTGCTTCGTTTCCAGAGGGCTTAGGGCAAAAGATTGTAACATTTTCATTGCAAAACATATTCCATAAAGTAATACAATTCAAGCCTTCAAAGGAAGAACTTGAAATCAAACTAAATTCTGACTTTTTTTCTTCCTCTTTGAGACACAGAATCATACCCATGCTAAAACACAAACTCCAGATTATTATTCTAATCTGTTCACAATACAAAAATACAGGAATTTTGCTATAAGACCTGTCTAGCAGTTTAAATTGAACTGTTTAAAAGGAGTAAAATAATAGTGTATCTTTTGCCCACGAGCTTAGTCTTTTTGTCTAAGTAGAATTTGAACTCCATCTACACCATCTAGAATGCAAAACCAAGAAAATTAAGTGGAAAGATAATTTTCTTTCCCTCCTAATTTTGAGATCTAAGCATTGTAACTTGATGGATGTTCCTACCATTTCTGTTGTATTCCTAAAAGAACCAAAGAAAAACAGAATACCCAGAAGAAATACTGGGGAGTACATGCTGCTTTTATGATGGAGTAAGCTAGAGTTCAGGGTTAGCTATGGTTTTTCACCCCTATGAAAGCATGATCAGCTGAGAAGTTGAGTCCCAGGGACCAGGATATTCTTAGAAACATACCTGAAGGAGGAAGTTCACGCTTGGGAACTAAGACATTCTTAGCAGTTTAGCAATCTCCAGTCCTGAAGCAGATTGCAGATATTACCCAGATGTGAAGTTGTGAAAGCCAGTGCTCCACAGCAGCAAGCTGAATGAGTTAGAAAGGAAGCAGACAAAGCTCTCTAACAAGGTACTGCATGGTATCACAAGCCCTTTAAAATATATAAAAATACATATAATATATATATATTCTTTACCAATTAAACATTTAAATAAATCACAGTTTACTACTGAAAACTTATCTGATAGAAAATTGACGACCATTTCTACTATTACTTTTTTATAAGGCCCCCATTCACAGTTGGAAGAAACATTATTTCTTACATAATTTGTTCCACTTGGTCTTTCAAAATAAGATGTAGCAGGTCCAACTAAAACTAAAAAGCTAAAGCAATAAAAACCTAGTCAAATAAATGGAAAGGAATGGAAATCTCACATTCCAAGTCTTCCTCTGGTATTATGAAACCAAAATCATAAATTTTTAGACTCTATTAATCGCTAATAGGTTATCTCTAACAGGCACACTTCAAGAGCTGCAACATCTATTGACTTTATGCCATAAATGCAAGGAATAGATCTCTAATTTTAATTTGTGCTCTATTTTAAGAGCATATAACAATTCGCTCAGTTCTAAACCTTTTTTGAAAGAAGTAAGCCCCATCCTTAAACTCTGTGCTGCCAGATAGACAAAACATCCTATGTGGATAGCAACCTAAGAACATAACATTCATTTCTGAAATGAAGCCGCGTGCAATTTTAGGAAAGCACCTCTTCTTTCTGGAAGGGATATGCAGGACCTGATGGCCTACAGATGTGTACTGAAAACCGCCTTTGGCCTCCCCCGCAGAATACCACACGGTCTCATATCATGAGAGTCCTCTCACATATGAGTATTGCAGTCCATATGCTTAGTCACTAGAGCTATAAATAGTCTAATTCCTACCTTTTTTTAAACCAGCAAAATTAATCAGCCACTTTCAGAGGGAGGTCTTCCTCAAGGAATTAACAGCAACTTGAACACATGGCTGGTTCAAATAGCACTTTTTAAAACTTACAAAAATGCAAGTATATCAAGTAGTTTAAAACAAAATAAATATTGGATTTGCTGTCCTGAGCTCCCACAAAGACATTTAGCTTTTAGTGGTAAGTGTGGGAGGCAATGGTAGAAAGGAGATGGTAACAATTTCTAGTCAAAGTGTCAGCCTTTGCCAAGTCTGTCTTCTTTTGGAACTTACCACACGTATTCTTTATTGCAAAAATCTGTTAATAATTATAGTTCTGCAGAAAGCACTCTGGTTTCCATATCAGATTCCCATGGCTTCTGCTGGGAATCAGAAAGGAACCTCTCCTAACCCTGTGCTTACTGCATTATTCTCAGCGTGTTGCCAATGGTATCACATTTCTGTTATATTGTGTTTTTACCAGAAAGCCATGAAGAATGTCAAAAGACTATGAAATGCTCAGGTCTAAAGCTCATTGAAGAAATAATTGGAAAAAGACTAATGTTAACTTCGGAGGTTTCCAATTCCAAAGGATTCTTTTCACCCTGTAGTACATGACTCCTTCCTCACTTCTCTGAAAAATGATGAATTTTAAAAGGACTGAAACTTAAATTCCAGGCCCAAATTCTTCACATATTTTGGGGATGTGCTAACTGAGGTCTGAATTGTGCAGCTGACCCCACACTAATGGCTGAATCAAGCACCTCAGTTACAGGCACCTTAAGGGCATAGGTTATTTGTGCCTTTTAGAAAACTTAACCTATTGTATGTATGATTGCCATACATATAATGCACTGGAACGGTTAGAGGAGGGGAAAGGTCACCCATAAACTAAAAAGTTTAACCAATGGCTTGATTGCAATTAAAAGCAGAAAATCTAAGTCAGTAACATTTCAATTTTGGTTGACTAAACCAAATTTTGTTATTATGTAACTATACATTATTTGGTTTCAATTTGTTTAAATGAAACCCTCTGGTTTAGAAAAATACAGATGTCTTTTCATTCCTTTTTTTTTTTTTAAGTAAGAAAAAATATTTTCATAGACAGGTAGCATAACAAAACATCTGAATATATTTTGCTAAAGTTTAAACATCAGTTTGAATTTCCTGTATGAATTTTGGTTTTGCTACAAATGAAACTAGTTAAATTTTCTTCACTGTGACAAAGAAATAACTCCATTTTTAGAGAACACTTTCTCAAATCCCTTTTAATTTCATACACATATTAAGAAGTAGCTCCTCTCCCATGACATTGCAGATTTGACTCACATACTACGATGATGAGTGGAAAACGCTCTGTGCACACAGCTGTGTTCTGACACATGTTGGAACTGCTATGAAATGCCTTATAAGGTACTGCCCTGGCTGGGTCTTCAGCATATTCTTCTGAGATGATTTTGCATGATCTGTATGCAATAAAAAGTTAAGTAATCCAAAATCTGCAGATGTACGGTGAGGAAAAGGCTTGCAGGGATTAAGTGATGTAGGGTTTTAAACATATAAACAAGAAAACAGCTATCAGTAGTCTCCAGTGAGATGGCTTAATTTGGTTTATTGTGAGAGATTATTGAGTCCTTATCTTTTCACTTAATGAGAATAATAAAGATTTTAGAGAATAAACAGAGTCATAGGTTCAACCCAGAGAAGAGGAGACTGAGGGGAGACAGCACTGTGGTCTTCAGCATCCTCATGAGGGGAAGCAGAGGGGCAGGCACTGATCTCTTCACTCTCTTGACCAGTGACAGAACCCAAGGCAATGACCTGAAGCTGTGTCAGGGGAGGTTTAGGTTGGTATCAGGAAAAGGTTCTTCACCCCATGGGTCGCTGAGCACTGGAACAGCTCCCCAGGGCTGTGGACACAGCTCCAGCCTGACAGAGTTCAAGAAGCACTTGGACAACACTCTCAGGCACAGAGTGTGTCTTTTGGGAGTCCTGCACAGGGCCAGGAATTGAACTTGATGGTTGCCATGGGTCCCTTCCAACTCTGGGATTCTATGAAAGCTTCATTCCACTTTCTGCTTCACATTATAGTCAGAGTCTGCATAATCCAAGTAAAAATACCCTTCAAACTGGGGAACACCCCCCATTTGAAGAAGCACAAATACATGGCTTATAGATTTTAGCTATATGTGATAGTAGCTATGGATACAATTCATAACTACTTTCATAAAGCCTGTACCTCCTTATGTATTCTATAGCAGTTGTATTGCTTTAGGATACTTTAATCATACTTCTATACATGTATATTTTTCAGCTCTTATGAAGAGTTGCTTTATCCAGACTACAGTGTGAAATACTGAAAGATCATGGTAATATCTCATTGTAAATAACTCGTGGATAGCTAAAAATATCTTTATCTATACCATATACATATGTTTATCTGATCATACACTATCCCTCTCGGTATAATTTCTACATTTTTTTTCACAATGGCTAGTTAACCTAGTGAACACCAAGACCTCAGCATGGTGCCTTCATACCAGCTGTAAAAAGCTGTATAGATGAGAAAGTGTGGAGGAAGGAGACACTATCTCCATAGCAATATATAGGTACACAAGATGCAGGACAATGGTGGCCTTCTTTTTTGGACTTGGGTGTAGCTTACGTGGAACACAGAAATATACCAGAGTTCACAAATCCCCTTCAATGCTTGACAATTTTTCACATTTGCACTCTGAATACTTTTGTCCTTTTGCTGATTAGGGCTGTTCAGCTGGACTCCTGTTCATCCTCTCCCCTCTAGTCTCTGAGTTCTAGGATCATTCCCTCTTGTCCATTCCATCAAGTGTTTCTTCTCCTCCTTTACTGTCTCCCCTTTGGAGTACTTCTCCTCTTAGTAAAATTTCATCCCTACTCCTAAGCATTCATGAGCCACCTTTCTCTTCTCCCTATAGTCCTTGATTTCTCACACTCTTTTTTAACCTGCTCTCATTCTCTCTTAATATGAATCTACACAAAGCTGCTTCTAGAATGGCCTGAATGTAACTATCAGGAAAACTTGTACTTCAAATACTTTCAGATTTAGTGCTGCAGTCCAAAGACCTCATGACTATTTTCCAGTTACCTTCAATGCTCCTGTTAAGAACAAGCCTAGCAAACTTTTATCAAAAAAAGAAACACCAATATATTTTTCTACCCCGGTTCCACAGTCAATAAAAATTGTTATACTTCTTATAATGTTCATTGAAGTTCTTCAGGGGTACTGGCAGCCAGACAATGGGGAACATGAAAAGTCTGGGGACCATGATGTTTTCAGGAGCCGTTTTCAATGTAGTTGCATACAACTATTATTTCCAGAAAAGAGCTAGCAGACACACCCTCTGGTAAACGAAACAGTCCTGACTAGGAATTTGAAAAGCAGGAAATTACCCTTCATGTGACAGCACCTTAATGTGAAAAAAAACATATTTGTGACAGTTTTAGCAGTTCAGCACTTTGTCATTGCCAGCGTGTTTTTTATGTTGCCAGAACACTTCTTGTTCTCTACTGTTGGCTTTAAAGCACTTTAACCCTGAAATAGTAAACACTGAATTAGAAAGGAAAACCGTATCTTGATCAACAATTAAATTTGCTTCAGTAAACAAGATAATGAGAATGTTATTATAGCATCTGAGACAGGAAGTCACTGAGGATAAGGATGCCAGTGAGCCTAAATGATCCAGTGGGGTCAGTCTTAACATCTCCTGACTTTATTTATTTCCTTGCTGTTGATCCAAACTATAACCCCTATACCAGTTCTACTTTTGATCAGTCACTTCCCAGCAGCATGAAAGCTGAATTTCACAAAAGAGTCATGTAACTTAGAGCTACAGTTTGGATCCTTGTGTTAAAGGATCCAACTGTGCAATCCTCTGTTTGTTCAGATGTGCTTTTCTTCTCAGCTGCTCCCTCATTTCCCCAGAAACAATGAAATATCCAAGTTGCCCAATAAGTCCTCTGATATAATGTTATTTTATGGAAGCTTGTATAAAAAAAGCCAGCAGCTTCTAACCTTTCAGGCTGACTAATTTCCAGTCTCTTTC